CAAAGAAAATATTTTTTACTGTATAAAATTCTTGATCATTTGAAAATTATTCAATACATTGAATAATTGATAACGTCAACTTCTCATCTATCAAAGTAAATGCAAATCTTTTGTATATTTTATTGCGGACTTTATAATGTACACTAAGTCTCTTTATTATATAATTTTCTAATATTGTTGCATTGTGTGAATATATGTTTCAAAAAATATTTCATTTGTATTATTTATTCTAAATTGTATTATACTTATTGTATTTATATTGTATTTATATAATCTTTATTTTATTCTAGTATATTTTTATTATATTTTATTTATATAAATACAAATTCTCAGGAGTCATATTTTGGAAACATTTCTTGATTAAGAAATACGTATAAGAGATATTGTCCGTATAATACCTTGCAGGTACTTATGTATACATATTACACAATATACTATCTGTCGTTCGATACAGCAAATGGTGGTACAGAAACGCCGGTTTATGATAGTGAAGTAATATTAAATTTTCACATAACTTTCTATTTGATACATTAAAAATAAGTATTTGTCATTGCAAAAGCGTCTTTCGCTCTAAAATTTTATGTCTAAATATGCAATTAACAATCGTCATGATATGTAAAAAATAATGTTATAATTCTTTTTTTTATAGTTGGTCGTTTAATTTTTATCTATTTTAATCAATTAGGTAAAATTATTTTATACTGAAAGTAGTTGTAATTTAAATTGAAAGTAACTTATTATTAAAGAAATTTGTTTTCAAGTTCTAATCATTTTGAGTTGATAAACTCAACCACTCTCACATACTTGAAAGCAACGGCGAAAGCGGAACTAGTTCCTTCCGTTTTACTAATTTAGTAACTTAGTTTTTCTTTGTTGTTGTAGGCTTCTTTAAGGCTTAAAATCGTTGATTGATATATTATTTGCTGGTCTCTCTCTCTCTCTCTCTCTCTCTCTCTCTCTCTTTCTAAAGTCTCTTATAAAAATTCTTAATAAAATACATTCAATAAATATTTATTAAGCAGGAGTATTATTTTGATAGATTGTAATAAAATAAAAATTGCATCTATACATGTTACATTAAAATGGTTGTTAAAAAATAGATCACATTTGCAAATAAAAGGTATTCTTATAAAATATTTTATTATATAATGTAAGCTAAAAGAAATATTTGCCAGAAAAATTGTTTTGAGATTCACTACTTTTGCAAAATTAATGTCTTTCATACAATTAATATAAGCGCAGCGATAGAAACAATCGAGGAACATTTTTCGTTTCGTTGCTTTTATCGTAATCTCATGAATATGTATGATTACTTTCATTTGTGGCTAACAACTTCGAATCTAGGTATATAGGGCGATCTTTTTTTTGCGATAAACCGATAAATGACTTCCTATTACAAATAAGTTATTACAGATTTGTACATTTCGGTACCGATGGTATGAAATCATTTAAACTCGAAACGAAATTTAGCTTATTGTTGCGGAAGTAACACTTATAATAGCGATAATGTTTCATATTCATTACATTGACATCATATTACTGCAAATATGTGCGCTAAATAACTCGCAGCGTGACTTAATTTCACTGCGTTGACTAAAAATGTGTAGTGATATGGAGAATGGTTATAAAAAAATTGTGTAACTTAAGCAGGCAGTAATGAAATACTCAGAAATAATCAGAATTCATATCTATAAAAATGTATGTCTTTCATCAAAAACTTGTTTTTTGTTATTTTTAAAGCTATTTTTTGAAAGCATTTATGATAAAGCCTATTTGCTAAGCAGCAATAAAAAATTGGCTAATATTTATTAATAATACATCTACATTAAAAGACATATTTAATTAAAACAGCGTTTTTAAAAAAGTTTTTAAAATGCTATATGAAATATTATGATAATTAGCAATCAAAAATAAAATCGTTGAGAAACGCTCTTAGAAATATTTTCTACATTTAATTAAATGAAATTATTAAAAAATGTTACTTAGATAGAATTATATATTAAATTATTTTAACGTATATATATAATAAGTTATAATTATATAAGTAATAATTATAAAATAATTAAACACATAAATAGCGCGCCTTATATGTTAATATCATATAAATTAATAAAACAATCAACCTAATCGGAGTACCCACGCAAAGTTATTTTTTTTTCCGCGAAAATAAAAATCACCTGAGCCCTATTACATAATTATAACTTTACGCTAAACGGTTCGATGGTATTCTCATGAGCTTCAAAGGCCACTAGGACAAAGAAGACAGGATCGTCAATAGGAATGTCAAAGTTTACCAGAGTATGCGATTAAGCAGTTTGACAAACTATAGAGCGAACGCAATAGAAATGCGATGCGATTCGCTGACCATGGGGATTAATTTAAATCGGACTGCCGAGTTGCATTGTGCAAAACTGCAATCGCTTCAATTCCTGGTAACAACGAGGAAGACGAATTAGGGCGTGTACATGTGTCGTTTGAGAGATAAAAACCGCGCAGTTCAGTCGGACTATCGCGCACTCGTTATGTCAGTTAAACGTCGATGTATAATGCGCGTTCAATTGCACGTGTTCGTGCAATCGCATGATAAACGTCATTTAACTTCACGGTCTCTATTAATTATTACCGATGGTTGATTAATTATTATGCGCTCCCACGAAGCTTTATTAAACATTAAATTAATTTCTATCACAATCATCTATTATGTCTACTATACCGCATTTCACGGTCCGTTACAAATATAACATTATTCGCAGATAGGCATAAATGCAGCCCATTGTTAGAAAGGTTGAATAATTTTCATCACACGAATAAATAATCTATTAAATATATTATAGAGAAATTTCGCGGGTTTTTCTGCTTGAAAAATTGAAGAATGTCTCAATGTTCCTCAAAGATTGATTGTTTGATTAATAGAAGGAATGATTGAGAGTTGACTTTGTTGTTCCTGCCAAATCTAATCCATCAGATTCGTTCCCTTTGCTGGGACAAGTAATTTCATCTCTTCGATTAAACGACAGAAAACTTAATTACTACCGCGCGTGTTGGCGTATCCCTGCGGGCAAAGGAAGAGTTCTAACCGTCTCGAGCTCTGACCATCCTTGATGAGATTTCCAAAGCAAGTTACGCTCCTGTTGAACCACATCATTCTCCTCTTCCATTTCGTTGAACATCGATAGCATACTGATGTTTATCTATTTTCTTGTGTGTTTTGCTTTTAATGCTATCTTAAATTATTCCTGCAAGAAGAAGCATGTCATGTATCTCTCATGACTTTATGAGTTTCTTTTTTTAGGGTTGTATTCGCGAGGAAGAAGTGTCCATTCGAATGGTAGGCGTTTAATTTCACTTTCACTCGCATGCACTTTGGACCTGCGTTGATTCTGGCGACTTCAAACATAGATTGCGTATCGGCGCATCTCATGTATTACATTATGCACGAGCGAATATGTTAAATTAAATTGAAATATTAAAAGACACGAATTAAAATTGTCATGAAGTGCAGGAGGAAACTAGTATTCATTGTTATTTCTCATTTGATAATTTGTTGTTTTTTCTCATTCGTTTGATTTGGTATGTAATCTAAATTTCTCTAATTATAATATATTGTATTTTTATTAATAATAACATATCGAATCTTCCCGATAACACAGCTTTAAATTATCAAATTATTGTATCTCAAAATATCAATATTTCATTATTCATATAGCTTGCAATTCTTATTCATCAAACAGTTATTTTTTGAGACAAAAAAAATAATGCACTTTATATTTTCTAAAAAATCCATATTATATCAAATGTAATCGATGTAAATGATAGCCAGAAATTATATTTCAGTATAAATATAATATTTTGATAAAATTATATATATTTTCCAAAAAATGTAACATACTCCGTTCTGTGTTTTTTATGAATTTATTCGAAATTCTATTAAATTATCCGAGACATGCTGAGGTTTGCTACATAAAAGTGCAATCTCACAAAATTTGAAGTACTTCGCGGTATTGTTGTTAATTATAACCGTCAGCTCGCTTTTACAATCCTCGAGGCATTATGTTTCATGAAACTCGTGCAACTACACACACTTTCTATACAAATTCAAATTGCGGAGTAAGCAGCATTATTCATGCAAATTCTAACTATGAACAAATATCAATGCATCATTATATTATAATAACCATCATTTCATATTATATACTGTCATACAAGTGTCTTTATCTCTTTATTTTTGCTATTCATTCTAAAAGCATAATTCAAGATCGGTATGTCAAGGTTTAGATATTCATGATAATTGAGTTTGCATCATTATAATGTCAATGCAAGGTTTCCGTTTTGAAGCGCGATGAGGGATGCGGGATGATGACCCATCCTCTACCAATTGCATAGAAGAAATTCATGCGCGTTCACCGTTATTTCTGATCGAGAAGAATCGAATTAGCGAATCTAGGTATGAGCAGAGGATAAGAGGGAGAATGAGACGATTCAGATACACGGAACACGGTGTCAGGTAGACCAAGGTGCTCGTCCGGTATGAGGCAAGTGGGGATGAAGGCCACGGACTTCGCTCGTGCAAACACCTCGACGACGCGCACCTAGACCTACATAGCAAGATAGCACGCTGCAACACGGTAACAATTTCTTGCGCCGAGACGTGCATGTGCGGTCGGAGACCGGTAGTCGTAGCTTCTTCTCGCAACTAAGATAGGCTTCTCAGTATCCCAGAGTTGCAAGATGCGAATGTTGGTGTAGTAAGATTTAATGATATAAAAGAATATCTTTCTGCTATCTACTATTGAATTGAAAATGGCACGAGAAAACGTTCATTCATGGACGAATGGTATAAAGATAGCCAGCAGGATAAAATCACTCTTTAGATATGAAATATTGCGTCAAGAATGTTAGATTTTTAAATATCTTATAAAAGGTTAAATGCTACACGTTTCGCTCGCTAAAAAGTTCAGGACTTGATTGCATCTCATATCTATTCGCGATCTGTGTTTCAGGTATCACTGACCTAGGCAGCTGCCAAGAGATGTGGTCACACACGCGGCTTTTCCTCTTGGCGTCAACGCTCGCGCTCCTGATCGGCCACCACGTCACCAGGTCGCAGCGACCGCGGCTCGGCGGTGCCGTAAATGTTTTCAGTCGTTATGGCTATCTGAGTATCAGCATGCGAGTGGTACCACGTAACGATTCTGAAACTTGGATATTCCGCGAGCCCACCCTCGATATTTTCAAGAATGCCACGCCGTTATCGTCCAAGCAGCGTCAGGCAAAAATAAATACCGCCGTTTTCGACGGTGACTTCCACATGGAGTTCTGTGACAATATCAGGCACGTAATTACAGTATTCGATGTCTTTTTAAAAAGATATAAGGGAAGCTCCAATTATTAAAATCTAATTAAATCTAATTTTTATGACTTTTATGGCACCTATTGAAATAAATAATGTATGTCTATTTTGATTATTTGTACGAATGTATTTGTGTATTTACAGACAGCTTCTACAAGCATACTTCCGTGACTTCACTTTCGAAAGATTGGAGAGGCCGTGGCGCGCCTTCACTGGAAGCTGGTCGAAGGCGGCGATAGCTAGGCATCTCGGTATAAATTCGTCCTTCATCACGGGCGATCACTGTTACGTTCTAGTGCGCGTCGCCAGATTCCGTGATAATCAACGACTCGCTGACACCGCCGAGACCCTCGTCCTCGATGATTTTGTGTTGCGGCAGACCGAGAACGTTACGGTCGGTGACACTGCGAGTGTTGTGCGATTCATCAGGAACTTCGGTTCGCACTATATCGCTTCTTACATCACGGGGAACTCGCTCTATCAGGTACAGCGATCAGGAAAGTTACGAGAGACACTTAAAGATAATAGTTAAATAACAACAATAAAAATTGAAACTTTCTATTTTAATTTCTATTCTCTAGGATCTTTTTCGAACAGTACACTAATCACTTTTCAAAACATATCACAATCTGGATTTGCTCTTCTAGCAAAGAAAAGTATGATTAATAAATATTCTCACAAATATTAGAAAAATGTATCCCTTGGAAGTAAAAATTTCACTCTACTCGTTATGTAGGCATATTTAAATAAAATTGCCATTAATCGGTTCAATATTATAATAATAACAAAAACGGGCATGATATTGTCTCTTTGCATCGATGCATCTTCCTTAATTATGCGGTCCGGTGATCGCTGTCGCAATCGACTCACCATAAGAAGAATGCAGTCTCGATGCAGTCTCGGTTAGATAAAAGTGAAACAAGCCTCATTTATCATACGCTCTCTCGCGCAACGGAAAGAGAAAGAGACGCGCGGCATTTTTATTTCCATTTAAGCGTAAAAACTGCACAAAAACGCCTCATTATTCCGAACCTAGTTCTCACTAGTAGTTTACGTCATCGCGTCAATGTCAGTAAAAGTAAAATTACGAAACTTTCTGCTTGAAATACGCGATGCCGCAATCTGGAGATTCAATTTTTGATCTTCGTTATTGGAAACGGCTAAAATATAAAACATCTCGTTGTCCTAAATATGTAAATGATGTTGCCTGAGAAAGACGTATGACGAAATACTTGAAATATTTTCTTTTTTCAGGTTTTCGTTTACACTCCTCAGGTGTATTCGCGAATAAAGGAACGGCTAAAAACACGAGGAGTTGCAGAACTGTCGGCTCTCGAGCTGAGTAACTATTTTTCGCCTTGGTACGCTGAGCACATGGGTTCCATACAATCAGCGAGTGGTAATCGTAGCGTAGAAGCATGGGCCGTGCAACGTCTTCGGATTCAATATTACATCTTCACTTATGCCAGCTTATTGAAATTGCACGGTGATACGACATTGCTTAAGCAATTGAACAGTTTGTTGGGCGATGAGGCGCTGCTGCAATTGCAATTGAGGACATTGGCACCCGCTTTCAAGGATTCAAAAAAACGCGAATGGTTTATGGAAGTGCTCGATAATTATTTCAAACTCTGGGAAGTGAACATGTGATAGTGTAATATGTATCAATTGTGGATAAACTTGAAATATTTAGAATATGTGTCACACGCATGTCAGACGACAAAATCGGCGTGAAAATATGAGTAACACTGTTAATTTCAGCATCTATGAAGTCTGTTGCGGGATCAGCTAAAACGATTCAGCGACCACCACGACTCATCAACGAAAACTTTATAGGTTTTTGTTGAAGAAAATATATCCTTCTGCTACGTATATGCAATGATATAAACCTGCATAAATACTGTTATTGTTATAAATAAGTATTTATTATTGTAATCATATTAGAAAGCACCTTTAAATATTTTTAATATACCACAATTATTATTCGTACAATCTGACTGAAAAATATTGTAAGTTCTTTAGTCAAAATTAATCTATTGATATGTAAAAGAGATGATGTTTTAGATATTTTAGATATAAAGATTTATATGCGTTTTGTATTTATTTAACTTGATATCATTGTATGTACAATGAAATCAAATTAATGAATCATTTTTTCTTCTCAGATATGTTCGTATTTTATAATAGCTCCTATTTTTATAAATTAGAAAATCTTTGTCACATTTGTTTAGATAAATTGGTAAAAAACGACGTATGTATTAGCAAATTTATATTACGATTATTGTGGACCAATATTATAGAAGATTATATTATGTAACAAGTCAAGCTACTGATATTGCAAAATAGTTTATAACATTACGAACAATTCCTTCCTTCTCCTATGTTTTGGAAAAACTCATGATCGAAATAAGATGTTTTATTTTATAATATCATGCAAAAAATTAATATGATATTTTAAATATATCATTATTATTTAATTATTATTATTTTATATCTGAATAAAATATTTTTTCTAGTTTAATAATCTCAAAGACAAAGCAATATCTTTTTATAGTACAATCAGTAAAATATAAAATCAAAAGTTATAAAATGTATATTAATAACGTATAAAATTTGTTCATTGTTTAAAATATTAGCGCAAGTGCATTTCTAATACGCAACAAATGTTCTACTTTAAGAATCAGTAGAGTTACAGATTTGCAATTTTCTCATTACGTCCAAATAGAGGAAATCGCATTAAAATCATGATATTTAATAGAAGACAAGACAATTGATTTTTAAGTCTTCAATCACAGACTTTTTATGATTCTGATTATATATATATAAAATCAGAACCATAAAAAGTCTGTGAAAAATTTCTCGAAAATCAATATATCAATCATATATGTATTTTTTTATTTTCTTAAAAGTTTTAATAATTCGAAGTATTAAATAATTCGTATATTATATCATTCTAAGAAGGCATATCTTTCCTACATATTTCGTTTAATGTTTTATCGCGTTTGTCTTTTTGAAGATTTAAATACAATTCTGATTAAAAACGCGCAGAAAATGAATCATATAAAATTGAGTAATAAAATAATAAATTCTTTTCAAAATTATCAATTATTTTATCATTTTATTTAATAAATAATTACTCTATATTTTAAAATGTTTGTATAATTTTATATTCCGCGTAAATGTAACATGTAAAATATTTCGGCAACAAATTAATAATAACATGGTGTTTATTTTTTGCGATCTACCTACAGCGCGTTAATGTTTACATGTCTCGGCTCTGTTATCATTCGCGTGAGGACACGCGAACAGTAAAGTAGTGATGCGAAACATTTTATATATTGTTGAATTATCTTTTTTTAAACACACGATTACGTCTAGTATCAAAATATATTCGCGATTATTACAATTAATAATTAATTAACTTTTGAAAAACGACATTGTAATAATAAATCTTTATCGGAGCGCGATTATTTACATTGTTGTAAGTAAAAATCAAAGCACACATGCGCGAGCAAGAGGGATAAAAATTATAAATTATCGTTTTTTTTTACAATTTTTCGATGTTCACGGATAATAATTATTTGTCTAATAATTTTTATAGTTAAATATATCTTGATATTTAAAATTTTCCTAAAATGTAAATATAAATTAATCATTAATTAAACAATTATTATATCACAATTTTTCGTTACTCTAATCTTTGATTTCACGATTCATTTTATTATTGTTGATATGTATATATCAACAATAGAAATAACATTGTTATAGCGATTGACATATTGTGTTAACTTTGTACATTGAATAATTTAATCATATTTTTTGTGTTGCTCTTTTATCATATAATAAAGTACATATTTCGTGTGATTATTCCGCGATCGGGAGTGCCGTGCAAAGTCGTGATTATTACGTATATGATTAATCACATAATTAATTTCGTGAGTGAGTATAAGTGCCATAAGGAAATGGAACAAAAAATTCCAGAAATCAGGCGGAGAATAATATGCGGTAAGTAATATATTCGTATTACTATTTATATTATTTAAAGACATATCTTGCGTTACGTTTCTAACATATCTGTATAAATCGCCGTTTCCTACTTTCGACTTTCAAGGTTTATTCTATTGGTTTTTTTTATAGTCTTCTTCCAAGAAGACTATAAAATTTTTCATTTTCTAAAGAATTTTAATCATTAGTAGCATTAATTAATTTCTTTCATGTTCATATGATCGCCCAATTTAAGATATCATTTTTCAAAGACGTTATACGAAAAATCGCGATATCTTTTGAAATGATCTATTGATTTTAACAGCTTAAATATTAAAATATATTTTTAAAACATGAAATGTATGCTACCAGTAAAATTGTAAGTTGTAAAATTCCAGTCAAAAAGCCAGAAATACGAAAAAATTTTTTATATAAGGCAAAAAATAATTAATAAAAAGAATAATATTCAAATGTGTTTTAATTATAATAAAACAAAATGCCGCTAGCGCAATTATCCGACGAAAATAGAAAAGGTCATGTAGTATATTTTATGTCTGCAGATACAAAAATAGGTCAATGATGATAATATTCGTTATATATGTAAAAATTTTTATTAGAGTTTTATATCATAATATCCGTTTCTATATTATGATGCAAATATAAAAACATCTTTCTGATACAATTGAGATTCATTATTGATTAAACAAAGAAGAATGTGATAGGCCCCAATCATTAGTGAAATCTAAAAATCCACATATTCTGAATCGAACAGCTTGTATATAGCTTGTATATATACATGATCAGCTTGACTTTTATGCAATCGAATGTTATAAATGCACTTGAACTACATACTATCCTGTTTCTTGGTATTTCGTAGCGCTAAAAAAATAAATATACGTCTCTCTCTCTTTTTTTCTCAGTTTAACACGAATATTATTTTCTATTATTTAAAGTTAACAAAGTATAAAATTATCATTTTATAATATTTTTTCTGATGAAGTTTAATTATATTAACAATTAAAAGCATACATTTTTAATCTATGAAACGCTGATCTATTTTTTAGTATCTATTTTTAGGATCTATTGTATCTATTCTGTTATCGAATAGCGAGAAGTTGCAAAATAGTAAAATATTACAAAATGGTGAAGAATAGATACTATACAGATATTATAAATTTGTGAAGCAGAATAACGAAGAATTATTATTATATATACAATAACGAATAACTACAGAATAATATTTTTTAATAAAGACAGAATAACATTCTTTAATAAATATTTTTTATTAAAGAAAATAATAATCGCGCCGATATATTATTACGTAAGTATTGTATATTATATTAAATATAATGTAAGAACACAGATAATAAAAGTAATAGGTAATAAATTTAATTATGAATTTAACATATTCAATAAATGTAACATATTCAATTTATCACGTTAGAAACTAAAGTCGAATAAACAAATAAATTAGGCAAATAAATATATTTAATAATACAGCTGAATATAAAATTATTAAATATATATTTTTTTGAAAAAATGATTAATTTAAGAAATAATATTTAAATATTAATATCTTTCATAATTATTAAAGATATATTAATTTATAAATAAAAGTGTGTATGTATATGTATATATATATATATATATATATATATATATATATATATACATACATATTTTAATTTATAAATGTTTAAAATTAATAACCTAATAACGTGATATTTCATATAAGAAATGAATAATAAAAATAAAATGTAATATATTCGAAAATATAGTAATGTTATGATTCTATACAAAATAAATTTTGTAATATGTTATTTAATAAATATAAACAAAATTGTATAAAATTATGAAATTTATAACAAAAATATTTTAGCATTTTATATTTTAGTATTTTTATACAATTTAATTATGTTACATATAATGAATAAAAATCAAACACACACAATAATACAATTTAAAATATATCAATAAAATATTACAATGTTTTTTTGCTGAATGTTCTTTCTCTTTCCTTTCAGTCATGAATTTAAATATAAAATATATGGATCTTATCACACTATAATATTGGCAGATACATTATTTGTTATTTGTGCGAACCATATTTATGCATAATTATTATAGCTATATAAAAGAAAAATATATGTCTATCTTTTTTTCCTAAAATTCTTATGACAGCTTTATAAAATATGAAATTGATATAACATATATTCTAGATTATTAGTTTTGATTATTGCCAATATAATGTTTGAAAGATATGTTTGAAAAAAAAAAATATATATATATATGTATATATTTATATTTATATATATAAAATATAAAAAAGTTTAAATGTATTAATTAATTTCATTTGTTAGCTCTATTCGCAGACTGTTATTCAAAAGCAAAGTTTGAAAATCATCTATTATTTAGGACTAATTATATGATCTAATCAACTTATTATCCAAGTAGTTCATTCAGTTTAATCTGTTTTTTTATAACTATGCAAATTTGCGCTTGCTTGTTGTTCTCGGCCCAACTTTCTTCCATTAACTACGAGTATAATAGGAGTTTCAACACGAATAGATTTATAGTCAAATTCCTAAAAATAAAGGAAAAATACATTTATGTAAATTCGATAAAATCCGATTTGTGAAAATGTTCTTAATAATACTAACATTATTCATATAGGAGAATTTTTGATGTATGACAAAAGGCTCTGGTATACCAACAGAATCCCCAACTGTAACTCCTCGACCTTTAGCTAGATTGTACACAGTAACAACAATACAGGTCTTTTGCTCATCCACAAGACAAAAAGCACTAAATAAAAATAAATAATTATTTATTTTAATAAAAAGATTATTTTCTTTACATACATAACGACATGAACAAATACTTACAATGGAACACAATCCGAGTCTTGTATCCAACAAACTACTTTTCCAAATACAACTTTTTCGGTATTTACTCCAAGAGCTAGTTCTTTTAAAGAAATTAAATCTAATTTTAACGATTTTTCTCCAGATGTATATGATCCATTTTTGTATGGTCCTAAATGTTTAATATCCAGTGCCTATATTTAATCATAAACCTATAAATATGTTTGTTATACCAAAATCATATTACAATTATTAATATTTTATATTCTAATAATTATTTCTTATTTTTATAACTACCCGTATCAATTGGTATAATCTTTTCGGTTTTACATGTCCATTGTAATTAATTGAATTTTGGATATCTTTAAGATATTTTAATAATTCATCTCGTTTGTTGCGTGGTGTTTCCCATAATGGATCAAGTGCCATTGCAGTTTCAAATGATTTTAATGCTAAGTTATATTCTTCTTGATATTTTAGAGCCTAAAACAAATTTTGAATAGTTTTAAACAATTAAAAAATATTAAATATTAAATAAAGATTACAAAATGTAAACTTACTACTGCCTTATTATAAAATAAATCCGGGTTACTTCTTGCAATAATATCTTTCTCCTAAAAAAAAGAAAACAATAGTTTCAATTTTCAAAGGAAAATATGTTGTATATATTATATACAATAACATATAATTAAATAGAAAAAAATGAATAAATATTCATGACTAATTTACCGCTTGTATGTATGCTGACATGCATAGACGTAAAGTAGTTGGGTTTTGTGCAATTGTAAAGAAAGAAGACAAGTAAGAATTTCCTAATATGGCCCAAGAGATTCCATCGGTTGTTTCGAGGCTTACAGCTTCTTTAGCATATTCAACTCCTTGTTGGATATTTTTTATCCGTTCATCAATAGATGAAGTTTGTTCTTGTCTAAGCACCATTGATAAATTTCGCAAAGATACTTTGTTCCTACCCTGGAGAAAATAAAAAAATATATATATACATAATAAATTCTTATAAATTCTAATAAAACATTTTTAGAGACTGAGAAGAAAGAAAATGTACATGTTGCAGGGCACCAGTGAAACAATTTTTTGCTTGTTTTATATCATCATTTTTCCAATAACATTCCCCTAATTCATTCCACGCTTCTATTAATTTAGGTTCTAATTTCACAGCTTTACTTAAAAGTTCCTCTGCCTGTGGAATAAAACGATCCACTACATTTAGAGCTCTTCCTTTTAAATAATAATACTTTGCACGTGAGCCATCAATCTCATATCCTTTACACTCATCAAATTTGCTCAGTGTGTCTTTCATTTCCTTTTCAACATCAGTATTTTTCTTTATTGCTTCATTGATAGAATGTGTTTCAAAGTAGCGATCTCGAAAGAGATACAAGGCTTTTACTTTTTCCTAAAACCAATTAGAACTAGCAGATATATATAACAGTAATAAGTTCTAAATTAAATAAATTATACAAAAATATAATTCACATACTGTTAATGCTACAATCGGATCTTCCTTGATCGTATTTGAATTCTTTGCACCTGCAACAACTTTGTCATCTATAATTGCAGACATTTTTCTCAAACTATATTATGTGATGTGCAATAAATAAACATTATTCTATTATGCATCATATGTCTCTCAAACCACCTAAAACTTTATTTATAATTTCTTGCAATTATACGAAATTTCTCGTAGAATAAAAAAAATCATTCCTAAATAGTCAAAGAAATAAGCATGCGTAAGTACGTAAAGATTACGTATTGTTATGAATGAAAGATAGGTTGCACATTCACATCAGAAAGAAAACAGAGATGTCATGGCCTGCTTTTAAGTGATCTCTGAAAGCGATATCCCTCTATGGACATTGAAAACGTTGGCGTGAACTACAAAGCCAATGTCCAGGAATGTTCTCAGAGGATAAGATATAATGTGCACAATTTCTGGTTTTGTTCCGTGCTATGTGCACGAAATGCCGGTAGCACCAATGCTGTATAACAAGACACTTATGTATATAAATTGATAGTAAATAAATTATTCAATCGCGAAAGATACTGTAATATTCAAAGATGAAATAAATATTTTTCTATATTTATTGTCATATTTATATCTTTTTATTTACAAAACACATTTTTATAATTAAGAAAAATATAGAAAAATATATGTTGCAAAATATTTTAAGTTTCTTCCTTTATATAAAATATAAAGAATTCATATATTCCATTCTGATAAAGCTAACATTATTTATATATTTTTATTATAATTTTCATACTAGCATAATACTTTTGTGCTTAATACTTTATATAATACAATGTACTAAATTATAAAATTTAATATAATTACAAAATAGTATTACTAAATAAATAGTAGTATAAATAGTAGTATAATAAATAGTAGTACTAAACTAAAAGACAGTATGCATATAATGCATAAATAAGTATAATTAACGAAATACAATTAATGAAATTATTCTTAAAATAGATATAAATATATAACTTTTCTAAAAATTATTATTTAAAAATATTATTTAAATTAAAATTTTTTGTAAATTTTAATAATAAATCCTTTTCTATAAATCCTACTCATTCTTTATCTATTTTAAATCTTTCAATTCCTATATTTAAAAATGACTTATAAATTCATAAATATACTAAATTTATTATCCATAACAAGACCGTAAAACAAAATCATTAGCTGTCGTAAGATTAAAAGATCAAAATAATTACACGTCGTGATACATAGCTATTGTTTAATTAACAAGGATTTAATTAATAAGGAGAATATTTAAGCATTGGTAGAAATATATTTAATTCTAATATTGTTAAAGAAATATTATAATAAGCATCAATATGATCAAAAGATCATAATATATTTAATTCTCTTGTCCTCTTTCATATATCCCCTGTTTCAATTTTTATTCGCATTGAATGATTACGATTCGATAAATATTTATCGTTGCGATACAGTTTCATGTCGTTTATCAAAAGTTAATTAATTTTTAATTATTAATATTTATAGCAAATTATGTTTCGATACTAATTGTAATCATGTTTAGTACAAAAATTACAATATACGAAGCGTTTCTCACCACTACTTTATTACTCGAGAGTCATCGTGCGAATGATGACAAAGCCGTAACGTATAGTGTGCTACTGTTTATATTTTATATTGCCAAAGACGAACACCGTTTTATCAGCAATTCGTTGAAATATTTTATATATTGTAAAATATACATTAACGCAAAATATTAAATAACAGAAATACTTTAATTTATTGATTATTAATTAAACAATTTATCACGGAACATTTCGTTACGTTAATTATTTGCATCTGTAATTCGATCGTTTTGCTTCGTGTTCTCTCATAATGCAAATTATATTTAGATTGTCAAGTAGTACGATAAAGTAACATGGCTGAAATATATTTGACTATAAATATTAAAATAATAATTATTTTCCGTAAAAGATCACAATGATCGAAGTGATTATTTAATATTTTGTATTCATATCATTTTATCGATTCTGGATTAAATTATAGATTGTTTAATTAACAAGAATTGAGAATATTTAAAGCATTGGTCGAAATATATATAATTCTGATATTGTTAAGGAAATATCATTATAATAAGCATCAATATGATTAAAGGTCATAACTTAATTAATTCTCTTATGCCCTTTTACATATCCCCTGTTTCAATTTTTATTTGCAGTAATGAAGGAATGCGATTCGATAAAGGTTTGTTATTGCAATACAGTTTGTCGTTAATTAATTTTTAATTAATTAATACTTATTGATATTTATAGCAAATTATGTTTCGATACTAATCGTAATAATATTTAGTACAAAAATTACAATGTATGAAGCGTTTCTCATCACTACTTTATTACTAAAGTCGCCGTGCGAATGATGACAAAGCCGTAATGTAGCGCGCTACTGTTTTATATTTTATATTGTCAAAGTCGAACGCCGTGTTACCGATAATTCGCTGCCGAAATATTTTATACATTATAAAATATACATTAACGCAAAATATTAAATAACAAAAATATTTTAATTTAGATTAATTAATTTTAGATTAATTAATCGATTATTTATTAAACAATTAATTAACATGCGAAGCATTTTGCATCACTACTTTTCTGCTCGAATGTCACCAATAAATGATAGAAAAATCATAACAATAGCATTCTATATAAACAATAGCATCTTATTATTTACATCGCCAAAATCGAACATAATGTTATTGATAAGCCGTTGACAAAATATTTTATATATTATAAAATATGCACTAACGCGGAATATTAAATTATAGAAGTGTTTTAATTTATTGATCAAATTGATTATTTATTAAGTATTCAATATTCATTACGTCTTTATGCTAATTATTTACGTATATAATTCAATTGTTTTATCCCGCAATCCCGCGTTCTTTCATAATCAAAATATATTTTGATTATCAAAGGAATACGCTTGAAATACGTTTTATTTTAAGTATCATTGAAAACATAATTATTGTTCATAAAGCTCGCAAACGAAATGATAATTTATTATCTTAGATTTCTATCACTTTGATTTTTCTACTTGACAATCTGAATATAATTTGGATTGTGAGAGAACACGAAGTAAAACAATCGAATTATAGATGGAAATAATTAGCATAACGAAAGACTTAATGAGTGATGAATAGTTTAATATATAATCAATTAATCTTAATTAATAAATTAAAATACTTCTACAATTTAATATTCCTCGCAAATATTTTATATTACAGAAAATATTTCGGCAACGAGGGAATTATCAATAACACCGTGTCCGACCTTGATAAACAGTATCGCGCTATTGTTAATACGTTATATGGCTTTATTATCATTCGCATAGTAATCTTGAGTGATGTGAAAGACGTTTCACATATTATTAAATTCTTCCTTTACATAGTCAATAGCCTTGGCGATATAAACAGTACCGCGGTAATATTTCTGACTTACGATCATTCGGTCAATGACTCTCGAGCAGTGAGGTAGTGATGTGAAACGTTCCATATATTATCGAATTCTTTCTCTAACTACAATTGCAAGTGTAACGAGGAACTTTTCATGAATGAGTGTAAGTGCAACGTGGAATTCAAATGACTGCAAACAGAATTGGAGTGCCACGAGGACAAAGTAAAACAAAAGAAAAAAAGAAGGTCTTGGAAATGGATGGATCAATAAGATGTAAATAATTAATATTTTTATAAGTTATAAAATTTATACAGTATAATACAAAATTAATTATATATTATATTATATATAAAATTATATATAATATAATATAACCCTCCCATGGGGTACACCTTGTCGCGGTGGGAGGGCTTAGTACCTGGACGGTGCCTTGAGGCTTATTTTAAATTTTCCAATTTATGATAAATCTTAAGGTGCTTGAATGGGAAGCCAAGTACCCTTTCGCGTCGTCGGTGCCGTCAACGTGCCGCGGACGGCAAGCGCTTCGTCAACGCGTCGCGTTAGGTATATACATATTAGGAAATGCCGTTAAAGGTATATACATATTAAGTATATACATCGCGCGATCAAATATAAAATTTTTAATCGCATCGAAAAAAGTGCGGGAGTGCCGTTCAGTATCGCGCGTAAAATAACGAAAATAGCGACATAAAAATATCGCTCGCGAGTGCGGGGAGTGTCGTTAAAAGTTCGCGCGCCAACAACATGAGAGGAGGAGGTGGCCTGGGAGAGGCATCTTGCATCGGCGGAGCAACCTGATGGTGAATATTTGTTATTTATATATCAATTAATATAAATTGTACGGATAATAATTCGGTCTTATTATTTAAATAAATTAAAGAGAATAGAGAAAAAGATTTTTATAGAAGTCATATAAAACTTTCTATTTAAAGAACCGTCTCACAAATTTAATAAAATTTTTCTACACGTGTTTATCTCTGCTTATTATTTTATACATCGGATATAAAATTTCGAACGATAAAAATTTTTTGAAATATTAATTGCATTTTGCGAACATTATTATAAATGAATTTTATATTTGTATGTTATAGACAACGTAGCTTCGATAACTCCGCTGTTGCGCATCAGTGCCGGTGAGTGAGAAAAACTTTTATTTAACTTTAAGATAACGGATTCGTAGACATTGTAGATGTAGATGTAGATTGTAGATTGTAGTAAATCCGTTGCCTTAAAATGGATGAGCTAGGATAGATTAAATTAAATAACTATTAATAAATTCTTTCGAAATGCTTTGCATCTATTGCGAAAATGTATTGAAGTATTAAATGAAAAAAAAGAATCAAGAAAAGAAATTTTTTTGTAAAGATTTTGTCTAATTTATGAAATAAAGAGAATTAATAATTTTATAAATCAATATAAAATATTATCAATTTTTGATGCTACTTTATTTTTATAACGCGCATTTATTTTATTCTAATTTCTTATAGCTCATTCATCATAGAATTTATAGATATCGTTTTTAAACTTTATTTTAACTTAATATAAAGCCAAATGATTAATTAACTAAATAATTTGTAATATGATAAAAGTTATACACATATGAATTTTATATTATACTAAAAAATATAATATACAGAAATTTGTAGTAATTTGGCTTTATTTGAATTAAAATAAAATTATATTCAAATATTTAACGAACGATCGTAAAATCAAGCGATCGTTACGATGAGCTTTACTATCAATTTACATATTATACAGAAATATCTTTTTATACATAAGTTCGGCATTTCGTGCACATAACAAGCACGGAACAAAACCAGAAATTGTGCACATTATATATTATCCTTAGAGCATTTATGGACATTGGCTTTATAGTTTACGTCCACGTTTTCAATGTCCATAGAGGGAGTATCGCTTTTAAAGATCACCTAAAAGCAGGCCATGACATCTCTGTCTTCTCTCTATGAATAATCATTCAACATTTGTTCGGAAATTCTACATGGGTAGTATTTATTTAGTCAATCAGGAAGAAGAAATTTTTGCTCCGTTTTTCTGATTGGTCAAGTAAACTCTGCTTTACTCTAGGAAGAGAATTTTTGAACGCACCCTTACAGCTGAGATAATCTGCAGTGCCTCTTGTGGTGGATATATGCATTAACTTGCGCGTCTTCATATTGCAAATGGCGATTCGAAACAAGTAATGTGTCGCGTGTGTGTGCAAATTGAGAATAAATATGGAAAATCTCGTGCAAAAAGGAGTTTCAACAGATCACTTTTGTGTGAGCTCTTTTTCTCTTTTATTAGTTAATAAGCGAAGATAGTCTAATTGATTGTAAATCTCAAAATAAACCGCGAAAGATAGCGAAAATAACGGTTGCACGAAAAGTTAGACGAACGGTGCAAACTTCACTTACATCAATGTTTAGTCATAAGTGCTTGAGCTAAGTTCCACAATCGCGGAGTCATTCCATTATTCTTACTTAATGTTTGCTGAACTTTAAACAAAGACAGATATTTTTCACAAGCATTACGTAATTGCCAAGATAAAAACATAGCTTCAAAAAATAAATCTTCACTCCTTTTTCATCTCGATTGTTAATCAAACTCGAAACGTTATTACATTGTGACGAGTACGTAGATTTAAACACTTAAACTCTGTAGAAATCTAAGTAGACTGTAACATCCATTTGTTTTTTGTTACTTGTGTGATCGTTATCTAAATTGAGTGAAAAATAAATATATGACATATATATATATATATATATATATATATATATATATATATATGTTGCAATCAACGTATATTTTTTTTGAAAAAAATGCTTGTCCTGATAAATTTTTAATAATGTAACTTATTTCATTAATTATTTACTTACCGACATTTACTTACCGAATGGCTGATATTTGAATAAAGTGTGGAAATTTGACGACATTTGTAGAAATTCGGTACAGCGATGAATACCAAATATTATTATTTTCGAAATGTTTGTTGCAAATAGTTGCAACAGTTTATTTAAATTGCAAAGACTATAAGTATATTTATACCTTTAAATATACTTTTTTTAGGAAAATAAAGAACAAAGAAACTTTATTTTTTTAGACAAATACAAAATATAAATTAGTAAAAATAGTAATAAAAATTTCGTAGAGAAAAATATATCGTATATATCTAATGTGTTAATAAATTAATAGTTATTACAAAATTTATTTTATTCTTGCTGCTGATTAAATTGATTAAATCAGTATACAGAAAAACGGATTTTATATTATCATGATATAAACAAGTGCATATAAAAATTATATTATTTAAGTTCTGTATAAACGGTTTTATATCAATTAAATATTTGAGTAGTAAACTTATATCAAATCATCGGATACGATGTGGCAATCGCATTCTTAAAATAATTGTACATCCCAGACTTCTTTTTCTTGTGTTACGTATTTGTGAAGATTCTAAAATTATTGAAGCTATAACTATTTTTCATTATGTGATGATAATTAATCCATAGAAAAGCGTTGCAAGTCATTAAAATTCAGTTAAAATTTGTACATTTTAAAAAAATTATTTATTTCACAAAATATTTTTTAAATAAATTAACAATATTAGACATAATATATTGATTAAAACTCACTAAATAACATTTTTTACATAATAACTACTTTTATTATTATATGCAGCAATTTTTTAATAATATTAGTTTCTTATTTTGTAATAGATTTTTTTTCCTGAAAAATATCACATCTAGTATATATATATATTTAGCATTTGCAACGTTTTTCAATTAGTATCTTAATTATCTAAGGCGGATAGACGATGATAAGTAAATGGCATATCTACGTGGCATAAGTATGATTACATCTTGATACAAAATATACATATACATACATACACGCAATAGTATAAAGTTACAAATATAATCTCGTAATATCACTCTCTGTTATAAGTTTTTTTCTAATTTTTGTTGCCATACGTTAAACGTAAAAAATTTAATTAATTTATATTTTTATCTTAATTTAAATAATACGAATAAAATCAGACGGAGAGATATGTGCATTTTAAAAATTTTAAAATACTTTTGCACTTGCTATTTCTCAACTCTGTTTTGTTATTTGGCAAATATGTGTCGTCTATTGTGGCGGATATGTCGTCGTCGTTTCATGCACGTGGCACAACACTTTTCTCGCACAATCGGTGATGTATCACACATACGTTTGAAGTTTGCACACGACGGAACTATACTATCCTTGCAATCTGAAAAAAAGATTATATATATATATATATATATATATATATATATATATACATATATTAGTCATCCGCGATATAAATATAATAATTTATAATATGAAGAAAAAGTACATAATAATTAAAGTCAAACATACATTAAACATCATTATAAAAAAATTAGACAATGTTTTAAACTTTTTTGCATGCATTTTGAAAAAGAAAACCAACGATAAGTAAACAAATTCAATTGGTTAAAATTTGGTACGCAAATCTCTAGAATTCATTGCATATGCTAATGATACTTGTTATGAGAATTAGAAGACTTTATAATAAGTATTTATACGCGCGCGCGCGGGTTGGGTGCATCATATGCACATGCAAATCAAGCGACGTAGCGTGATCTCATAAAGCAAGTCGTTACGAGAACCGCGGTTTTCTCGTATAAATTCTAGTTTCTCGACGCCTTCGGATAAGAGCATATTCTGTAACTTTGGACAAGCCAAACGCTCTATAACCTAACCAGCATAACTTAGAATTACATGCGGCTACGTGTTCTAATTCTCTCAACTCTATTACTATTCTGTTAGATTGCCTCAAACTTCTATTCAACATCAATTACTCTAGTGCGACAAATGTGGATTTAATTTTTAAATATCTGACATGAGCAGTATAATTATTAATATTATTAATATTATTAATGCTATTGGACGGCAATAAAACTTCTTGTGGATACACCTGAAAATAATGTTGCAAATGTGTCGCAAACATGTACATATATATCTCTCTTTGAAAGTCTTTTATTAAAATTTTAACAATGTATTAAAATTATAAATTTTAGAAGATACGATAATTTTCTATATAAAAAACTAAAATTTTATAGAAAATGCGGAAGGCTTTTGAGAATAAAATTTAACTATGTAGATATAATTACCATTTTTCTCATTTGTGCATTGCCGTCGATAATAACAGCGCTTTGTATCAAACGGTCTTCTGTCGAGATTGCAATCGTCGGATAGCAAGTTTGTCGCGCGATCACGACATTGTACTTCTCTATGTTTAATTCCAGACTTTACGAGGCAACTTGCGTTGCAACTTGCCCAATTTCCTAAAATTACAATTAATAGACAGCTTTACATAAAGATTTTAACAAATATTTAACAAACTTGAGAAATTTGCATCTGATAAATAAAATTTAAAATAGTCATCTTTCATTATTATTATTTAGAAATGTCACTAATTCTCATGTGTATTATAATAACGTTTTTAATGAAAATTCTACAAATACATTTTAGATATTTTATAATATCTAAAATGTATTTGTAGAAATCTATCTTTCGGAGTTATATAAATTTCGTAAAATTAAATTTTAAATAAATAAAATATTTGTTGTAATATTATATAATTATTTTATAATTAGAAAAAATTTTGTTCGTGTGCATATTAAAAGAGAAGATACACACTCTCTTTGTATATATCGTACCAATCGATCTGTAGCTTACCGGTGATCCATTTTCCACCATAACAGTCCTCGACGCTGATTGGCTTGTTATCCGGATTACAATCGCCCGGAACGGAGCATGTGACTTTCCTGCTTCTCTTGCCATTTGAACAGTGACTCCACTTCGATACCGTCCACTTCGACTTAGTGTTGTACATGGAATTGTCCGGGTTCTCGTCGACGACGTTGTCGAACTCGAGAATCTCTGGCTCCTCGGTAGTGAGGCTGTCGACTATCGTAATACCGTCTTGCTCGTTCAGACTGATATTATAGAATGACATATCCTTGTTGTCAGCGTACACGAATAGCGGTATCTCCGAGGTGGGCCCGCATGGCGGTAAATCTGAACACGGTTCCACTTCTTCGGGTCGTATGTTTTTATCGCAATCGCGATCGGGTAGTGCCAAGTCTGATCGATCGGTACCGTCACCGGAGAACACGCACATTACTGATCTTTTACGCAGCGCGCTCTCGCCGCATGTAACAGGACACATTTGCCATGGGCCCACCCACCACCTAAAATGTTGCAAAATTTTTTTATACACACGCAACACATTTTTTATATAATAAAATATAATTTCCTACATAGAAAATCTCCAGATTGTTGTTTTGAATTATAGTTATTTTACAAGATTTTATAAGATAATCAATAGAAAGAATTTCTCCATCATAGAGTAAGAATATAGAAAAGATGGCAATCGAAAATTGAATAAAGTTTTATTCAACCGTTTCGAAAATTCTTATTATGAGATAACAATGTTCTCTCTCTTCGAAGTTCTTCGAATTTTGTTACAATAGTTTTATCGGATTCAAAGTTAGAGTTTACCTCGCAGGACATGGATTCGAATTGCATTCGCGCGACTTTGGTTCCGGTTTCTCGATGCCCTCACAGAAATAGTCTTCAACGATACCGTTTTTCCTTTCGTGACAGATTGCGTGAGAAGTTTGAGTACCACCACCGCAAGTGACCGTACAAAGAGTCCAATCGGAAAATATCCACGAGTATTCTGGAGCTCGATCAGGTTTCTTTTTTGGCACGGTGTATTCATAACGTAGTCCAAAATTGCGATAGTGACCTCTATAAATTAACTAAAATAATAACGTTTGATAAATATTAATGACAGCCAACAAACGGAAGTCGTTTTATTAAATCATCGAATTTCAAATTTGACATGTAATATACATAGAAAAATTTCAATCGCGGAAATTGCGCGCCGCAAATGTACTTTATTGAGATAATATATTACATAGACTGCAATGTCTTCTTTAATAGGTCCTGGAATTCTAATCTTCTCTCTATCTCGATCACGTTCATACAAAGCTGGTGTCCCGGCGACTTCGTACTCGCCCGCTAAAGTGATCTGCCTGTCCAATCAGAATTTCATCAGAGTTTAAGATTACGTTCATATTAATATTACGAAAATTTCGCTCATCAAAATGTAATAGTACCACTCTGTGATAACTTTTTACATTGTCTGATAAGAATATACGTACAACTTAGGCTTATATACGTACAACTTAGGCAAGCAAGCGACGCGATATAAGATTATAATCTCATTTTGCAATTTCAGTTATATTTAAATTTCTCGATTTGCCTACATTGATGCACAGATTAGAATTTTGAAATCTAAGTTATACGCACCGTTTTCCATTGAGGAAATACTTGTCGGAATTCGGCACGCCGATGCCAATGTAATTCTTACTGTTACCGATCTCCTCGATCTTAATATTTCGCGAACCGGATGGAATAACAATGACTTCCTTGTATCCGGGACCATCATTTTTGTCATAAACACCGCTGGTGGTTTCGCATTGAGTACCATCGCCATGACAAATACCGCAGCGATCTTCCGTAGCATCGGAATCCACCATCCAATCACAACCGACTTTCTAAAAAAAAAAATCTTAATTTTTTAATGCTTAAAATTTTTTAAGCATTAAATGAAATCTAAATTTAAAAATATATCTGAAATATTTAAACCTATTTTGAAAGTAATTTTTTTTAAAGAACACTGACTCTGCATATGCCAGCGATACACATGTCCCTGGTACCAACATTGCATGGCGTACCGTCGAGAGCAGCCTCTCCCCAAGGGACGATTACGCTTTCCTCTGTATCAGTGCAATAAAGCTCGCAAGGCTCCGCTAAATGAGATGTAAATCAAACTTCGCGTGATAAATCATTATAAATATTTCGCGTATTTAAATCATTACGTGATTTAGATATTTCTAATTCGTTTTACAATTTATAATACATGTTGAATAATCTAAATAATTACATTCTACTTTACCACAACTTACTTTAAAACAATTTTGCTTTCTCGTTTCTACATAATCGTTCGTATATAATGTGTGCATTTTAATATCGATAATTTATAGATATTTAATTGAGAAAATTCGCACATGATGCATATTGATAAACGTACATTTTGAAAAATCATAAAGATCTAGAATTTGGATTTCGGAATTACATATGCGACCGCGGAAAAAAATTGCGTGTATCAAATAAATTAAAAGTTTATTTACTTTGATCGAAATATGGCAGCCAGGTATAATTCTTTCCTTTATATTCTTTACCGTCGTAGTTGCTGCACTGAACCGCGCGAAAACTCGGTGTACCTTCCGGGCAAGATTGCGTGTTGCAGATTTTATAACGACGTCTTTCGCCTATACAAAACTTTCCGCCGTGTGCGGGCTCCGGATGATCGCATTTCCTCTCGACTATCGAGACACCGGCACCACAAGTTCTCGAACACTCACTCCATGATCCCCATTCGCCCCAACCGCCGTCGATTTGCCGCGGTCGATCGACAATAGGCACGCATTCTTGATTTTGACACCACTACAAAGCGGAAAAATGTTTTTAAAAGAGACTTTAATATTTTCATAATATTCGTCTTCTTAAATAAATCTCAATAGTGATTTAAATAATGGCAAAAATATTTTATAAAAACACATTTTATCATTGAGAAAATTTGAATTTACCATGTGTTTCCCACAATGTGTTCCCGGAGCTGCTGGATGCAGCATAGTAGTGCAAGAACCGTCTACGATGCACCATAGTTTCGAGCAAATCTGGAATCATAAACGGTCATAAATCTTTAAATCGTGGTTATATCGAGCCGATTAAGTTCAGATTGGCAATTTATTATCGATGATCTTTATTTACCTCCTGCAATGGAGAACAAACAGAAGCTTCTCTTACGCCGAACTGCAACCGGCATTGATGCTCGGCATTATACATTGCACCGGGCGGTAAATCTGGATATGCATAATCATTACCCGCAGGTTCGTCTTCTAAACAATCGCCTTTTCCTTGACTGAAAACCGCATATTCATATATATATTATATTTCCTTGTTTTTGTTGCGTAGAGAATATAAAAATTGTAGAATCCCAAAGAAGTTAAATAGATTTTTTTATTTAGATATATTTTATTTACTCCAAAAAGTTCGTAATATCTCTTCTAGAGCATCTGGACCAAGCTACTCCAACAGCGTCCACTTCAAAAGTTGGCGTCATTACATGTAACGTATCGCCTTCACGTTTACTGCAGCCGATTTTTTCCGTGTCGTGATACATTCCAAAACTAAACAGAATATGCGATAGATGTTTAAAATTAACATATAATTAATTTTAAAACGTTCAATTTAATATTTTATATTTTATAAAGAAATATCGAATGTTCTTCTCATATCAATACAGTCATTCTTGCTTACTTATGTCCCAATTCGTGCGTGATTGTATGCGCCAATGTGATCCCATTATCCTCGTTGACGCTGCAGCTACGATCCGGTTGGCACATACCAGCAACGTGAGCCACTCCCAAAGTGCTACAAGGGGTATTTGCACGCGAACAAATGTCCTCTCTCGTCACTAGAATCGCCACGTCGTGATGATTCGGATGCGAATCATCGCCGGGATTTAGTTTCTGCTGCCATTTGCAGAAATTATATAGAGTTCTATCCGCGTTTATCGCGATATCTAACCCTTGCTAGGACAGAATAGTTGATTTCGAGTAATCGCTCCATCTTAATACTATCATTATGTGTATATCGCGTTAATTAAAAACGATTAAAAGCCATTTGAAGGATAACGTAGGTACCTCTGCGTCTTCCTCCTCAACGAGAATAATTCTGACCACTACGATGTTGATGAAATTGCCGATAGTGGGATCAAGATAGAGCGCGGACACCATGTTCATGATTGTCAGGAGATAAGTTTCCACATCGCCATCCTGGTGAAAAGCCATCATCGTCATGTCGGCGACGACAAGAACCTCGACATGACGCGGTGTACTGATCGATCTCTTGGAACGATGCCACCGTTTCGCTTGATGATGTTTCCTTCGCCCGCGGCCTTGAACTTGGACGAGGCCTGGTTGAGTTTGCCATTCGAGCCGCGTCTCTGTCAATCGACGCGGTTCTGTCGGATATTTCACGTGCTGTCATGATAAATGTAGTTGCTAATCTTTCTTTTTAGTCTGTGCTTTTACCGTCAATTTATTTGCTGCGGAGTCAACGATTTTAAACGTTGCAAAAAGTGCTAAAGTATACGCGCAATTCTTGTCAATCGATCGAGATAGATAGTAGCTTCTACTCTGTGGAGCGCTTTAACACGGCTGATTTATGCAAATTGGCAGATTGCAGAGCTGCAATTAAGATTTCATTTGGTCCATTCGATAGATCGGCAAGCCTGCCGAAATGAATACTCATTGTAGTTAATTATGGGTTTGCATCGAATTGGATTATCCCCTCGTGCGCTTCACTATATAAAGGAACGTATCAAACGAGCGATCTTAGTTCTCTATATCGGCGCGCTCGTGCACGTTTCATCCGCTGAAATGCGGGAACGTCAAAACGGGTGGCTAGATCGTATCTTGAAATTGTGCCAAAGATTACGAGCCAGTAATTTCGGAATTCGTACGGTTCAAGCAAATTAGGTCGGGTTAATCAACTCGTTTCGCAATATTATTCGCAAATCATAAACAAATCGATTATCGATGCTTTGCATATTATGTTACACATATATGCAGAAAATCTTACAAGTTATCAAATTGCGAGGCTACTATAAAACTAATATTATTGTGCAGTCGAATGAGAGATTAGTTTCGATTGGAAATTAGTTTTAGGATCATTATAATCCTCTCTATTACTATTATACATTTCAATATTCCTGCGCGCAAGACTATACTCTTTCTCTCGCCCACCCTATCTTTCTTCCTGCTCGGATATTATCGTCGGCGAAAAATAAAGGAGAGACAAGGCGTCGATGACACGCCCACGTTCCGTACCACGGTGCGTCCAATTACATTATACGTGCAGACACATAAATACATGCGATACATATTACAGGAGAGGGCGAGAGGTGTAGGACGGCGATGCGTGCGGGGGAGCGTGCGGTTGTAGGACGCGCGGGCGAAAGTCGAAATAGGAACAAGAAGAAGGTGTCTGTTCTCACCGCGGGTGCCGCAGTTTCTCTCCTGTTTCCTCTTCTTTTTGCGCCGTCGCCTGCTGCGACCGCCGGCGCCGATCTCGATCTGCTGTTGCTGCTGCTCGGCCGAGCGCCGAAAGACGAGGTGAGGCCGGCCCCCTGGGGCCGTGGGGTCTTTACAGATCGACGAGCGGGCACCGGCGCCTAAATCGTCGGTCGTCATTTCGTCGGCCGACGACGTGCCGCGTTTTTCTTCCAGGGACACGGCGACTGGTTCCAGCCAGAACTCGCCGTGGTCGCCGCGCAGCATACCCGCCTGAAACACAAAACCGGGTCTCATGTTACTCAGACACACAGAGACCGGTGTACACCGGCCGAGATTCACGTCGTGACGTCTCCCGGCGATGCCGTATACGAATGGGCCGTTTAGCTCGAAAGTGGCGCGTATGTCATCCTGAAAAACTTGTTAACCCTTCAGCGAGCTGCGTCTCGGTATTTTTAAATTTCGCGCGTGTTATTTCGCCATTAAGTATTATTTTTGCATAATCGAGCGCGCACTTAGTATCGAAACTTTATATAAATGTATATAAATTAATATAAATTTTTATATAAATTTTATATAAATAAATTTATATAAACTTTATATAAATTAATTTTATTATTTATGATTTATATAAATATATTTGGACAATTTATAGCGCATCAGTCATCGTTATTACAACATGAAACTGATTATCGTGAAAATTTAAGTATCGTGTGTATTTCAGAAATATTATATATCATATTTTATATACATTATTATTATTATTATTATTATTAATTTAGCGTGTAATTACATTTACGTTTGTAATTAAAATGAAATCGTGAGCTTTAGTGTGGGCACAGTCAAGATTGACGGGCATGAGAAATAATAGAGGACTTGCGGAGGCGTATCTCTTCGCAATTTTGCGCGAATATCATCCCAACGGCGACGATATGCGAAAATATTAATACGATATACGAGATCATAAACGAAGTTATGAAAGCAAAGCGCTACTGGACTGAAGATAGTGCGTATTCAGCGTAAGGTAGAAGCTAGATATTAATATTATATAAGTATGCTTCTCTTCTTAAGCACTTGGAAATTGAGTTTCTACCGAGTTGGTTTATATCAGCGTACGTTGCCAAGTATATATTATGCTTAGTTCCCCTGAAATGTAAGCGCAGCTCCGGTGGAAAGGACACCTTTCGATATCGTTCGGTATCGCGAGAACAGAGAGACGTTAATGTAAAACTTATTGGAACTTGCCGCTCATTATTTTAGCCATCAATCGCTATCTGACAGGAAACGGCGAGACTTGTCAGTGGCCACGGGTGATTAATGCCATAGCGTAGCTGCGGGCGTGCTAATCTGTAGCATGATCAACATCGGTTGGCATTATTCTATTTCTTGTTCTAAAGGTGTTAGAGCTCGGACCTCCGACGGCGCGCTAAGCGTCATGGAACAAGTATTTCGAAGGTTCGCGTGATCGGTAAAAAAAGAAAAAAGGAGAAGACGGTTTCGAAATTAAGGAAGATTTAAAAGTTGGAGCGAGATTCCGGCTAACTTTTAAAATAATGCAAAGTTTTCATATAATTACAAAAGATATACATAAAACGAACTTTTTCTTCTCTTTGTCTCTCTCTTTATATACATATATTAGTTCGCTTATTTCGCTTTTTTGTACCTTGTAAGTTAGTACTGAATATTAAACAAAATTTTTTTATACCTGTAATATATTATAAAAATAAATTTCTTAATTCCATAATACAGTAATGTTGAAGATATAATATATAATAGCATCATAAATATTATTAGAAATCAAATAAGAAGCAAAAGAAGACTAAGAATGAAAAATACAGGTAATAATGCGTTTTGTTAATAATATATCATGATAGAAATTTTATAAAATTATTTATCTTATATACAATAAGCGCAAAAATATTTAAAATGTACTGTCAACGACGTTTCGACCCCCTACTCTGGGTCCTTTTCATAAAGTCAAATAATATTATTTAAAATTTTATTTGTTTGAAAAGGATGATTTTGAAAAGGATCCAGAACAGGGTCGAAACGTCGACAGCACACTTTAAACATATATTTTTGCGCCTCTTATTGTATGTAAATGGAATAATTTTACAAAGTTTCTATCATAATATATTATTATTATCATGCACCATTACCTGTATTTTTAGTGCTTAGCCTTCTTTTGCTTCTTATTTAATTTGTATCATTTGAACCATTTTTACATTTTTATATTTTTACTATTTTGATTATTAGAAATTTTATCTGTATTAATCGAATCAAATTTCGTATATATTAACGTATATATTAATACTTGATCTGGATTGTTTGTGCCATATCATCATCATTGGTGTCACGAGGCAGATATTCCCGTATCTCGGCGAAATAAAACGATCAGTGAAGCGGAGCGAGAGAGGCGGTAAAAGGGTTAAATATAGCCGGACCGAGGTGGCGCTCGCTATTTCGATTAGCCCTCGACGCAGACCGTGAAAAATCACGGCGCCAGTCTCACAAAGGCGAAGAGGAAGAGAAGAAGAAGAAGAAGAAGAAGAAGCGAAGCCTCGTCGTCAAAGGATCTCAAAGCGAAAAAGATCCGGTCGTGACTCGGCTCGGCATGGGGCCTCACGGCGTTCTTGCCTCCTCCGCTATTCCTTCATCTTCTTTCCCTTTGTCGCGTCATCTTCGTTTTATTTTGCATCTTTCTCTCTCTCTCTTCTTCTTCTTCTTTTATATGCTCACAAACTTTGATCGGCTATATAAGGAGTGATTTGTTATCGCGATGTCTTTGACGATGACGATGGATAGGACATTTTGTTGTCGATTTTGTTAACTTCTTTGCTATTCAAAGAAATTTTAAAAAACGAATGAACATTATAAATATATTTTTATTATTATTAGGTTAAATGATATAATTGCAATTGTTCATTATTCCGGATGTACTTGAAGAGAAATTTATAAAATTTTATTTTATAAAAAAATTTATTTTACAAAAGATTAACAATTGCGAATGATTCTTTTTCCGGGATTTATCTATTGAAAATACAGAGTGCACGTTCGAATATTGATAAATATAACATGGAACGTAGGTTGAACCGCGTGCTCTTAGCTGAAATAAAATAATTGAAAGTTATGGCGCATATGTTAGTTGCACCCATGCAATATTTTATTCTTTAGTTGAGAAGACCTCCGATTTGTCAATATCTGACAATCGGCAAATTTAATTTAATAACTACAACTTCTATCCGCTATCGGATTTTGCACTCGGAATATTTTATGTAATTGTTAAAACGGTCTTCTCTGCAAAAATTCAAATTCAAATCGAAAATATATCTCATAATTCATCTATAATAAATAAGTAAAACTAAGAATTTCAATCTTGTCTAAAAATTAATATGCGAAAAAATAATAAAGTAATAATGTTTAAATATTTTCGAATAATTATCTTTAATATATAACTAAATTGATTAGCTTTTATACTTTCGCAAATTGGATGTTTCAGGATATACATAAGAATATTATCGATTGTGTGTTACGATCTATTGCACATTCTTTGGTATTAGTATCTGAGAATTCACTATCCTAGTTGAATACGATTCTAATCGCGACAAATAAATATATCTTTATAGTAACATGACATTTAGCAGGAAGCTGTTCAAACATTTCTTTTAATTGAACCGTATTGTATGGGCCAACGGAGAATATATGCGACGTGTATCGTATATTTGCGGGATTCGATTAATTCCGCATATCGACCGATAATTTACGACAGTTTATGTTACAGTCGCGTCCTCGGCGGAGGAGGAATTTCTATTGCAACAGTGTGCTGCAATAGAACTGTCTCGCGTTCGTATCTATTGCGCCTTTCCTAATTGCCGCGGACACGCAGAATCGAGAGAAACAACGCTATAAATTCGCCATTTCTTTTTCAGAATGGAATTAACGAAGCATGTCAGACTTGTCAAAAGTAGCTTCCGATTTGTAAAGTGCGCCGATCAATTATGCATCGTTATAATTACATTAAATATTATAAAGCCGCTTCACACACACACACACACACACACATATATATATATATGTACTTTCCGATACGACCGGATCGCGAGAGCGGATTAAATCATTAATTGGCGCGCAACTCGTTGCAAACGATTGACATAAATTACCGCGAGCCAGTTCGCTGCTAATCGTGCGACGCACACCCGCACTCCATCGTCGACGCAATCGATCGTGACGATTGCACAAATGCCGATCCGCGGGTAGGAGGTGGTCGTGCATGGTGGTCGTGCCGCGCATATGAAGAAAAATCTACTGCGCGCGAAAAGTTCCGTCCACGCGTTAACGCGGCCATAATTGCGCGGTGTCTTGAAAGAGTCCAACAAAGCGAATTCGATCGGTATAAAATCGCACGCGGGACCATCATCGATCGTGATCATAGTCACGTATGTACCCCGTCATACATATCTCGTGGCGTCGTTTGTTACGTTACTTGGTTTACCGATCATCGTCAAGGCGATCTTACCCCACAAACTGGACATACGCTGCCGTTGTGTATGCATAAATTATTATTGAGCGACCAACGGGGAATACCGATGGGCGGTCGCAACATCGAGACACGCCGACACTCATGTTTAGCGATCGACGAAGCCTACGGCCCCGCTTTTACGATGCATATTTGCACCTATGTCTAAGCACGCATTGGCTCCCCCGTTGGCGATTGTTGCGCACACGTGAATAATCTACCGCGCTTGTCGCACGACTCGACCGCTGCTGACAGCCGTAAAAGACGATTAGAATTGCCTGGTTGGCAAAGCCGATACGATCTGCCGCTATTACGGAGGTCCGTTGATTATCGCACTACCGTTAATCGTAGTGATCGCCGAGGGAAATTAATTATCGAAATCCGTGAAAATGCTTGATCTCGATGCCTGAATTAGCGACGGTTAATTATAATTCGTGATGTTGATAATAATTTTGTACCTTGAATGCGCACCAAATTTAATAATTCAATTTTTATCTCTGATAATTCAATTTTTATCTCTGATAAGTTGCATAGAATAGAGTAAAATATCGTATTTCGTATATTAAATAAAAACAAATTAATATAATAAATTTATATAATCAATTATAAAGCGCGAATGTCTTTTTTACAAATCTATATTTTCGTTTCTAATATTTATTATTAAAGTATCTTTCACAACCATATCATTTAAATAGTAAAATATTATTTAAATAGCAGATATTAAATATCATTTAAATAGAAAGATATCATTTAAATA